GTTTCATGAAACAATGGCGCCATACAAACAGTTATATAATAATAATAAATAGATATTAAACTGCGTAAATTTTACTTGTTCGTCTTTCAATAAATTTGTACACAAAGTTCAATCCCTAGTGCTATGAACATCACTCAAGTTGTCTAACTTGATGACTAAATTATTCTTGCTTGACAAATATTATCCACTTGATCGATGGAAGATTTACTAAAGTCTATCARGCAAYGCATCCATAGAGCTCCACCCTCATAGCAATATAACTATAAAATTCTAGAACAACAAATCGAACACCRCTCGCTTTAATCGGAGATGGGAGCTTGTGAGTTACAAYTGAAGACCTGTCCACGTTGCCTTGGAATTCCTAAAATAAAAGCACCCATCATTATGTARATAGATAACTTGAKAGCATTATTGATTATACAACAATTCCACAAGGAGCGAAAATGTAAATAGACATTATTTTTTCAATTGTTCTAATGTAAAAAAAATCGGAGATACCGGATGGCAATTACCTGGTTAGCAATATAAACAATCCTTAGTGAACCGAGGAGCTATTTACTTTAAATCGAAAAATAAATGAATAATAAATCGTGTTAGATGACTAAGGCCTAGCGCTATACGACGAACTTCACATAKGCCGAAAACAACTTCTATAGTAATTCGACTTAAATGATTAAATACGGCATTTTGATTTGGACGCCGAATTTTAAATGACGAATTTTAAGCGTTTTCCAATATATGGTGGATGACATAGAAGAACATTCTCGCACTCAGACCCATGCCAACTCCTGCGGCCTCTAGCGGCCTGAAGCAAGAAATATTGCTTCCGTTTTATACTCTAAGCTCTCTCTCCAGACTCTCTCAAAATGTTTTTTTTTTTTCAGGTAATCGCTCGTAAAGACAAGGTTTCCTGTGCTGCTAAAATAACCATTAACACTATAGTTTTGGAAATTTCGAATTTTCTTCTACTACAAATATTATTTCTCTGTCAACTCCTGTCGTCATAAAAATCATTGAGAATTATGGCAATTATTAAGCTTTGATCTTTGTTTCAAAATAATGTGAAATAAGTCTGTAAGGTCAAATGAGTTGACGGCCGTCGTTAATCCCGGCTGTTTGGTGCTTCAGCGAGAATTATCAAGTTACTAGCAYARATACCTGTTTTTACCTTGATTCAAGTCATTTTTCGTACCAAATTCGATGTCGCAAAGAATGATGACACAGTATTTCACGAACAATGTACCGATATATTAAAGTACAAATATTTGAAAGTTTGATCGCGATTACAACCTTGTCCGTTTGTTATTTGAATTAGCCAATCATGTGTTTTTTGAAATAAAAGGGTGTCCCAGAACCTTTAAATTTCGGCTGGAAGATGAAAAAGGATCTGGGTACGAGAATTATAGAAGAAATGCTAATGCTAAGCATTTCAACAAAAATGAACGTGCATTATTATTCCAAATTGCAATTAACTGTCTATATGCTAGACGTAGGCACTTGATAAAAGTTTAAATGCTGTCCCTTTTAATATTAAAGCCGGAAGAAGAGCTGTCACTATTCCCCGCATTGTTCATCGAACATGCAGAAGGTTGAGGGAGTAAAAATGTTGGGTGGTGGGAAAATGTCTTCAATACGTACTCAGACGCAATATTTAAAAAGACATTTGGAGCGTCTAGATCTACGTTCGAATACATTCTTAAACGAATTGGTCCCTATATTGTGAAGGATATTGTAGTGGAAGACCCAATCACCCATAATGAGAAACCAGCCATTTGCCTGTATAGTCTGTATAGGCTAGGGCGTTTTAGACTAAGTGCTTGTTAGACACATGCATGTGGGATGAATGTGTTTCAGTGCATATGCCGACGTCGGAAGATTTTGAATAAAAAATGCTAGAGATTTGAGGAAATCTGACAATTCMCCATATGTTGGACTCTCCAGATGGATCAGAAGCCTGGAAGGTTAATCATATCTCCAAGACTCGAGATCATATATTCGGGAATATTCTAAATAACTTCTTGCAAAATTTCAATATTTTTGCGTTTTTTCATAGTAATTTTCTTTTAGTGTCGTCCTTTCCCGTAAACTGTCAAATCCCCCACTTATTTAAGTAATATATCTCCTTTATGTCGGTTAGAATATGGACAGTCGTAAAACCAAATGCTTCTTTTTACCCCTTTAAAAAGAATCATGATTTCTGTTGTTAAAAACACTCTTTTAAGCTTAAAAATCGCTCGCGAAGAAACAAAAAATATTGTTATTTGGTTTTAGCAACTTTCTTGTAAAACACCTTCTAAAATATYGTAACGTTCAACACGAAATACCCGTGTTCTCTTGCCACTATCATGTCCGAAGAGCCCTGGTCACGAGATTGGTGAATAACCCTTAATTCATGTTAATTGAAAACTTAACTATGCATTGCATTCGGCACATGTGAGATACGGCGTATAAAACAACTGCCGCGCACCATTGCCGTAGTTTTGTACTGTTTAAGTCGCAGATTCAACTGAAGTCGTACTTAATCCACTACCACTGTCGAATTTAATATATTTATACGCCGCATCTCACATGTATTTAATTCGTGGATTGTATTCGGCACATGTGAAGTTCGGCGTATAGCGTGGGCCTTTAATATTGTTTATAGCCGTATTCAAGATATCAGAGAACAAGTTAAAGGCATTAAACCAAGGCGTCAAGGTACGGTGGGCATAAAAGAAAACATATGTACTCAGTATCCCTTGACACCTCTGTTAAATGCTTTCGCTTGTGGTCACAATTGTGAATTGTGAATCTGGAAAGTCGTGGATTCATTCTTGATTGCCAACCAGAATGGTGGATTTTGGATGCGAAAGGCCCATTGCCATTTCTACGATTTTGTCCATACTCTAAGAGTTGTTGTCCATACAGTCCATACCTTCAAACTACCTCCATATTTGTATGCTTCCCATTCAAGAGCATCTTGGGAAAACATGAGGTAATACTTCGTCACCCACTGAGAAACAAGGTTTTCTCGTCCTTGTGTGGCAACTAGGCTTATTATATGTGACTTGACTATGTCGATCTGAAGATATTGTGGAAGACTTAAGGATGCCGGAGCCCAAATTCCTTGCCCGACACTCGAGTGCAAACGACCATTTTGAGGTMCGTGGTCGTATCTATACGATGAAGATGCGCTAATCTGAGAATCTCTAATGCGGCCATCTTGCATTCCCAATGCTGAAGTACAATTATCTGGTCATAATAAAAGTAAATCTCTTTTGCTAATTATCTTGTACCTCAATCCACTCAACATGAACTCACCTTTGCATTTAAAGTGAAGCCCATCTTCCTCCATCAAACAAACTCTTGGTTCTTCACATATCTGGTTGCTACATGTTTTCATAGGGTGAATTCCATAAATCATGTAGTTTCCAGTTGAGCTTGAGACAACACCCTCAGGATAAGACAGATGAGTGTCATTGTTCAGCTGACACAAGCCCAGATCTCTGTACCAATTTATACTGTGACATGTAGAGATGTCCCCACATTTTTCGATACAGTTTATCATACGGGCATTACCGTAATGTGATTGGGTCACGCTAGTTAGAAGCACTTGACCAGGTGGTATCATGATGCCTGCCATTTGAAATAAATCACCCATCGATAANCTGCATCTCACATGTATTTAATTCGTGGATTGTATTCGGCACATGTGAAGTTCGGCGTATAGCGTGGGCCTTTAATATTGTTTATATCCGTATTCAAGATATCAGCGAACAAGTTAAAGGCCATTCAACCAAGGCGTTAAGGTACACGATGGGCATAAAAGAAAACATATGTACTCAGTATCCCTTGACACATCTGTTAAATGCTTTCGATTGTGGTCACTGAATTGTGAATCTGGAAACTGTCGTGGATTCATTCTTGATTGCCAACCAGAATGGTGGATTTTGGATGCGAAAGGCCCATTGGCATTTCTACGATTTTGTCCATACTCTAAGAGTTGTTGTCCATACCTTCAAACTACCTCCATATTTGTATGCTTCCCATTCAAGAGCATCTTGGGAAAACATGAGGTAATACTTCGTCACCCACTGAGAAACAAGGTTTTCTCGTCCTTGTGTGGCAACYAGGCTTATTATATGTGACTTGACTATGTCGATCTGAAGATATTGTGGAAGACTTAAGGATGCCGGAGCCCAAATTCCTTGCCCGACACTCGAGTGCAAACGACCATTTTGAGGTACGTGGTCGTATCTATACGATGAAGATGCGCTAATCTGAGAATCTCTAATGCGGCCATCTTGCATTCCCAATGCTGAAGTACAATTATCTGGTCATAATAAAAGTAAATCTCTTTTGCTAATTATCTTGTACCTCAATCCACTCAACATGAACTCACCTTTGCATTTAAAGTGAAGCCCATCTTCCTCCATCAAACAAACTCTTGGTTCTTCACATATCTGGTTGCTACATGTTTTCATAGGGTGAATTCCATAAATCATGTAGTTTCCAGTTGAGCTTGAGACAACACCCTCAGGATAAGACAGATGAGTGTCATTGTTCAGCTGACACAAGCCCAGATCTCTGTACCAATTTATACTGTGACATGTAGAGATGTCCCCACATTTTTCGATACAGTTTATCATACGGGCATTACCGTAATGTGATTGGGTCACGCTAGTTAGAAGCACTTGACCAGGTGGTATCATGATGCCTGCCATTTGAAATAAATCACCCATTGATAATTTCGCAAGGAATAACTGAAATAATGCTCCCAGGCAGACGCTGATGATATTCTAAAAAAATAGAATGCCAATAACATAAAATTCGTTTTTTTTTTTTAAACACAATACTTCCTGCAAAGATTAATTTGTTCTGGCTTGTCTTTATGTCTTTGTACATGTGAACAACATTAAAGAATCATAACCAACCGCCGTAACTTGCGAGCCGAAGCGCCATTTTAGGTGGACACGAAAATGGCGGATTCGTAGGAWTTCTTAAAGTGAGCGCGAATGGTCTTCTGTCCTTTGAGTTTTGACAGAAATACCTTTAACCATGGATAATAAAAGCGCTGTGCTTTAACTAAGTACCTCACAGGTGCTATCAATCTGTAATCTATTGTATGCTTGACGCATTTAAGCGTATGTAAACAATAATACGATTGGCGGTTGGTTGTGATTCTTTAATGGGATTGACTGTAATTCAGAAAGTAATCACGTCAGGGAAGCGCGTAGTCTCGGAGTATTTCAAAATAAAATACGTCGACTGACWTTAAATATTAATGACAATTGCAACGGATGTAATCTGTGCTCCGAGTGATCATGGTATCTAGTCTATCCTAGTCTTTTTTTTCTTTAAAGGTTACATCTATATTCCTATATTATCTATATTATATTTTCAGCTATATTTTTATAGTTTTATATTAAATGTATATAGGGTATTAAACCTAAGTAATATTTTATCAAACATTTATATATTTTATCATATATAATTATATATTCGTTTCGACTTCTTTTTATGTTGTGTCCCCTAATTAGTAAGATGCTTGTCATCCAGCTAGATGGTTATTTGACACGTTAATAAAGTTTCTATTCTATTATATTCTATGTACATATCAAAGAAATTGACCTAGGTGTCAAGGGATTAACACTGAGCATAGTTTTTTTTTCTTTTCTNATGTAGAGATGTCTCCACATTTTTCGATGCAGTTTATCATACGGGCATTACCGTAATGTGATTGGGTCACGCTAGTTAGAAGCACTTGTCCAGGTGGTATCATGATGCCTCCCATTTGAAATAAATCACCCATTGATAATTTCCCAAGGAATAACTGAAATAATGCTCCCAGGCAGACGCTGATGATATTCTAAAAAAATAGAATGCCAATTGCATAAAATTTTTTTAAAACACAATACTTCCTGCAAAGATGAAGTTGTTCTGACTTATGTCTTTGTACATGTGAACAACATTAAAGAATCATAACCAACCGCCGTACCTTGTGAGCCGAAGCGCCATTTTAGGTGGACACGAAAATGGCGGATTCGTAGGATTTCTTAAAGTGAGCGCGAATCGTCTTCTGTCCTTTCAGTTTTGACAGAAATACCTTTAACCATGGATAATAAAAGCACAGTGCTTTTATTATCCATGCTTTAACTAAGTACCTCACAGGTGCTATCAATCTGTAATCTATTGTATGCTTGACGAATTTAAACGTATGTAAACAATAATACGATCACGCAAGGTACGACGGTTGGTTGTGATTCTTTAATTGTAATCTTTAACTGTAATTCAGAAAGTAATCACGGCATGTACATAGCGACATAGCAAATTATTATTGATGAATGTTTACTTCTTCATTTATACATGAACCAATGAATATTGTTATTTCTTTAGCCCTCGTTACATTTACCGTCTACAAAACCTTATTCGCGTATGTACATATCAAGTTACGACCCAAGAATTGGACCTAGGTGTCAAGGAATTAACACTGAGCATAGCTTTTTTTTTTCTTTTCTCCTACCTTTTATTGACGCTTGGATTCAATGAATTGTTTGTGGTCAAAGAATCCGAGTGTTGAATATCGTGAGATACAAGAAAACGTTTGATGGATGCATTTAACCTTATGATGGTTTTCCCACAACGTTATAGTCTTACTTTTAAACTCATTTGTCATATACTTACCATTGAAAAGGCAAACATTTTAAACTCAATGAGAACTCTACATCGCAATGGCCTTTCTCAATCAATTTCACTGAGCAGAAATATGACTTTTGAAAAAGCACACACGGAAAAACCGTCCCTATAAATTGTTAGACTTTTTTTCGTATTAAGACAACTCTGACATTGAACATTCTAAAACGCTACGGCTAATTAAAGAGTTCGTAAAAATATTAAATTTTTAATAAGGGCTAATGTGATAAATTTGAATATATTTGAATGTGTTCCTGACAAACTGTCACTGACTTCATATGGCATTATTCGATCTTCATGAAACATGCATGTCCTAACATCCAAATGTTTAAATTAAAACATGAGAAAACAAAGAAAATAATTGCAGTAAAGAATCGTGTTCAATAAACATTATTTATCAATCTATTCAAGCACTAATTACTACAAAAATGGATCAAAACCACGGAGAATAATGTTATCAATAATACATGCTATTGTTGTAGTTTGTCATGTGACTAAACGAAAAAGATGTGTTTTTTTCTAACAMYGCCTTGCTACACATGTGCTGAAGGGTTTATTCCTCGATGGTGCAGAAACGTTGTCAGGTCCAAAAAGGTCAAATCATAGAAGCTAAGACAGAAAGGGTACTTGGGAAGACAAACAATTTGGCTAATTTCATACCAAACAGCTCTCCAGCATAAAAGACTATCATGCTGTTAATCTTACTAGCTCTACTTGATTTACGGTACACCGTATATGCAAATGTAATCCCAATTTAGTGGTACTCAAAATCCCTTTCGGTCTTAGCTTCTATGATGTGACGTTTTCGAACACGACTACGTTTTTTTCAATTAGGTGTATACGATATAAGATGGTTCTCTAAATTCCTTGCTGCTGCATGCCAGTAAAAAAATTATATTTAAGTAAGCATGTACAAAAATCGTTATTAACCCTCCTTAAGCTAGTTATTCGACTTAAGAATGAAAATTGTTATAGCTTTTTTTTCATCAAAAACACCTCTTAGTTCTACACAATGTCATGCATGTCGCCATGGGATGCGGTAAATCATGCAATGGATTAAGGCATCAGGGGACCTTYGCGACCGGTGGTCAATGCCCTCGTAGCACTTTATCACTAACAAAGATACTTCACTATAAGTATACATTTTCTAAAAGCTGAATAAATGGGAATTATAATTATGTAATTGGTTTTTGATAAGAGTGAATCGGTTTTTGTAAAGGGAATTCTATTATTTCTGACTGCTTATTATTATTTTTTTCCTAAAAGAAGTTCCAGGAACACCGGATTTCATTACCGCCTTCTTTTAGACCACAGTTTGATCTCCAAAATCGCGTTTGTTGCGGAAATATTCACTTTTAAAGTTGAAAGAAAGACGTTATTTTTTAGCCTTTTTTAAAAATATTGCTATAAGCTAAGAACGGGACAAGATATCAAAAAAGACACTTTTTTGGTATGAGTAATACGTCAACAAGTGTACAAAGTTTGAGCGCTATTGGTTGAAATCCTGTGTTCCAGGAACTTCGCGAAGTTGCGTAAAAACGCTAAAATTAATTTCGAAACTAGACGCATGGCTGCGTGAAATCGGGGTTCTCATAGCTGATTTTATGTCGAAAATGATGTGGTGCAGATCACGCAGCTTTGAGAAAATAATTTATTTTGTTTTACTCAGTATAGTCGCTGATAGTATTGATATCAATCTATTAGGGTATAATACAGTCAAGTTTAATTTGTTTTACTGTTAATATATTAAAAGATACACAAATCACTGCTATAAAGGTTTGAAGCAATAAAAACACGCAGCCAGGAGTTTATTTTGGAATCCCTGTGCTATGTTCTTGSCCGAGGACCACTCCGTCGTCAGGGCAGGTTGCGTCGAGTACTTATTGCACATTTTATTATATATATTCATAGTTCTATGGCACACAGGCATATTTGTCGGACTTGATTGATTCTTAATTTTCTCACCGTYGCCGCTTGTGAACCATTTTTAATGAACAACGAGAACCACTTCGTGGATTTTATCGTGCCCAGTTAACTTGTTGTAACTTGGGAGTCAAACTTGCATTTAATTTGTACAAGATCATCTGATATTTGATTGCGATTGTGGGTGATATGATTGACCACGTGTTAGTGGCCTTCATGTGCTATCAGCTGACCTYTGGGTTTCCTATGTTGCACAAAGGCGTCGTGATCACGTGATGTATGACGTCACATACGGTGTTCCGCACTATGCACGTGTGAACATATTACTATCAAACTGCGCATTAATTTGATGGCTAAACACATAGCGACCTAGTCTATCCGGAGGAGTAAAATACCTTTTAAAATAAATCGGCTTGTTGTGAAATCCATCGTACATTTTCAATAGCTTTTGAAAAACATTCGTTAAACAACTCTGGGTGATTGATTTGCGACCAGGCCTGCATATGAATTCGCCAAGGTTGTAAGCCAGTGAGCCCGTGCATTTTTGTTAAGCAGTCATATTTGAAAGTGTAAAKAAAGAAAGGAAAAACCCGCATCTCGCCTTTCACTCAGACAAACAGTACAAGTCGTGCTAAATTCATTTACATAACTAAACAAAATGATTATAGAATGAAACCTTTAAGAATTGAATGCTCATATGAAACATTTTCCACCTTAAATACACACGTGTTAGGGAATTTAGTCGAGCTTTTTTCACGATGGAATTTTGTTTTAAGTCGTTTCGACATAAACAGTCGCTATCAAGACATTACAACCCCAAGTCACCGTTCTATCTCTCGTTGTAAGGTCAGAGCTAGTAAATGTGTAACTAGCCTGTTACATAACGTCAAATCGTCGAGCACGCTTGCGGCTTATTGCCGAAAATGCGACAAAGAATGAACTACGATCGTTGTTTGTACCAAAAATAACAAACGCTTTAACTCGTTTGGAATACGTGCTCTAGCTCTTCCAGTGATGTTGTAGATACCTCAAAGCTTAGATGAAACAAGAGCTAAGAAAAATGATTTGCAATGGTTCCTCCTAAGATACATTGGACTTGAAACGTCGCTTCAACGACCTTCTGAAGT